CAGAACAGAGCCCTGGGGCACCCCACTACACACTTCCCTCCATGTAGATGTGGTTCCACATGCTGAGTATGGCCGGTCAGCCAGCTACGGACCCATCTGGTGGTGATGCTGTTTAACCCACATTTTTCTATCTTATCAAGTAGTAGGTTGTGATCAAATGCCTTACTGAACTCCAAATAAATTATATCCACAGCATTCCTCTGATCCACTAATTTTGTCACTTGGTCAAAGAATGCAATAAGATTTGTCTGGCATGATCTGTTTTTGACAAATCCAAGTTGGCTTTTAGTAATGACTTTGTTTGCCTCTAGGTGTTCACTGATTTGTTGTTTGATTATCTTTTCCAAAATCTTCTCAGGTATTGAGGTCAGGCTGATAGGTCTGTAATTTCCTGGGTCCATTTTTTTTCTTTTTTTGAATATGGGAACTACATCAGCTCTTTTCCAGTCCTTCGGTAGTTCCCCAGTGCTCCAGGATCTTTGAAAAATATAGTTCAATGGTTCTGAGATCACATCTGCTAGTTCCTTGAGAACCCTGGGGTGTAATCCATCTGGTCCTGGTGATTTGAACTCGTCTAGGCTGGAAAGGTGCTCACTTACCGTTTTCTTCCTTATCTTAACTTGCGTTTCTATTCTTTTTTTTTATGGCACTATTTTTGGTAGGTTGGTCTGTTTTTTCCCTTTGTGTAAAGACAGATGCAAAAAATGAGTTAAATAATTCTGCTTTCTCCTTGTTGCTTGTCACCTTCTTGCCACTTTCACCCACTAATGGACCAATCATTTCCTTCACTTTTTTCTTGTTTTTTACATGTTGAAAGAAGCATTATTTTTGACTTTGGTCGCAAGCCTTAGTTCATTTTGAGCCTTACCTTTCCTCATTTCATCTTGCAGGCTCGGGCTATTTGCTGATATTCTGACTTAGTTATGTGCCCCTCTTTCTATTTTCTATATTTGTCCTTTTTATCTTTCAATTTATCAGAGAGTTCTTTATGCAGCCATAGTGGTTTCTTCTGAGAGTTGTTATTTTTTCTCTTTGTTGGTATTGTGCTAGACTGGGCTTTTATTATCTCAGTTTTCAAAATTTCCCAAGCTTCTTGAGTTGTTTTCCCCTTGAGGATTCTCATCCATGGAATCCTTCCCAAGCCCTCTCTAAGTTTATTGAAATTAGCTCTCTTAAAGTCCAAGACTCTAGTTTGACTGTGTTCTATTACTTGTGCTTCCATAATGTTAAATTCCAATATTGCATGATCACTTCCTCCCAATGTTCCTATGGCTTCAACACCTTCTATCATTTCATCTCTGTTAGTCAGAATTAGGTCCAAAATGGCTAATCCCCTAGTTCCCTTCTCTACTTTTTGGGAGACAAAGTTGTCTGCTAGGTTTGCCAGGAACCTGTTTGATCTTCCACTTGGTGCAGAATTTGTCTCCCAGTTGATGTCAGGGTAGTTAAAGTCCCCCATTACTATTGTGATGTGCTTCCTACATACCCTAGTTAGCTGACTAGCAAAAAGTTCATCTATTTCCTCTGTTTGGTTGGGTAGCCTGTAGTATACACCTATAGCAATGTCATTTTCCCCACTTTTATATTGACTCGCATTCAAGACAGTTTTCATCGTTGTTGTGCTCTATTTCTGTAGAGATGTAGTTATTTCTTACATATAGAGCAACTCCGCCTCCTCTTTTATTTGGTCTGTTTCTTTTAAATAATTTAAATCCCTCTAGCTGTATGGTCCATGTGTGGGTTTCATCCCACCATGTTTCCGTAATGGCAACAATATCATATCTGCCCTCATTAACCTGAATTTCTAGTTCACCCTGTTTGCTGTTCATACTCTGTGCATTGGTGTATAGACATTTGAGTCATTAATGACTGACCCTGTGTTTACTTTCTATGCAACCTGTGTGGTGCCTGTGTGGTATTTCCTTCTGTGTGTGACATGCCTCCATTTATCTTTCTCTAAGTGTTTATCTGTAGGGTCAAGTCCTCTGGGAGTTATTTGTTTGTTATTTGGTTTGGTTTGGGTGGAGCTTTCTTTTGTAGTTGGAGTTTGGGTTAGGGTTAGGGTAACATAACATATATAACATCTATTCTTTATTACTGCAGATATAAATCTGCAACATTTTGTTTCTGGACTTTAATAGCTTGGACAGTACACATAAGATTATTTAAAACAGATAAATGAAATAACCATATTGTTTTCACTTGAACTCACTTCTGGAAACTCTTCCAGCTACTGGACCACAGTGGAGGTTGTGAGATGATGCAAAGTGCCACATCAAAACAAATTTTGTCACCTCTTCACTTCAGATTGAAATGTTTATTTTCCCAAAGACTAACAAAATGATAAAATAAAGGTTCAGAAGGATGTGTTTTTTGGGGGGGGGATACAAGTGCAGGAGCAAACCCTGAATAAAAATATACCTGTAGGGCATAAGGATACATTGAAACAATTTCTTGAAGGACTTATTTGCCTTAATAAAATAGAATTGCAAAATAACACAGAAAAGATTGCTTAGATGAGAAATGGGATCCAGTAAGATGCAATATCAAGGCATTACATAAGAAACATGGAGAAAACTGGCTTAAGTAGCAGCTGAGAAACAATAGCATAGATCTGTATGTACTCTGCCCACCTGATCACTATTAATACCTTGATCTGAGATGTCTCAGTGCAGGGATTTGGAAGTAAGACAGAGGACTAGTGCATTCTGTTTAGCAAATGCTAGTGCAAGCTGGTTTGATCTACATTTAAAAAGTCAACCAAATGGCTTTATTTTTGAGACTAAAAAAAAGATGTCCAGATCTTTATATTAAAAAAAAAATCTACATGGAACCTGTTGTTTAAATATGGATTTTCATGCCTTAACAATACATTCGTGGCAGCCTACAGGAGTCTATGCATCTCTACAAGTCCGTCAAACAAGTATTTTCCTGTTAACTCTAAGCAGAAACTGAGCATGGAAGAAGTAGAATAGTTTATGTAGTCCTTAGTGCTCTCTGACTTTGGTTGTTTGCTTGCAGACACTTCATTACCTCACTAGGTAATACCATCAGTGCTAATGTGTGTGAGGTTCGCTGTCTGTTTACATTTATTTCTTTATTAAATTTATATGACATTTGTCTCACTATCCCTAGTATGTGAGTATATACAATAGCTTGTTCTTCCAGTGTTAGTGGGACTGTGGATTTCTCTTTGGTAGTTTTATTATTATGTTCATAACTGCCTATCTCACAAAAACTACAACTATCAAATAAAGCAACAGATCCCAAAAAAACAAGATATAACAATCCACATTAAAAAAATAAATATTACAAAAAACAAATAAACCATGGCAAGCGAGGGTAAGAATGGCCAACTCAACAATGGAGCCATCTAAGCATGTCTCTTGTTTCCTGGAAGCCCCAGGCCTGATAACATAATCACATCTTGAGAGACTTTTGAAATGTCAAAATGGATATTGCTAAACTAGTTTCAGGAGGAAGAATGTTCCATAAGGTGACTTCCACAATAAATACCCACCAAATGTAAATCTCTAGCAGCATACCTTCTCTCCCAGATGTTATGCAGCTGATGTAACAGAGAGAGGCAACCCTTTGGATAGTCCTATGCCATGAAGAACTTTACAGATTAAAACCAATACCTTGAATTAGACCTGGAAACAAACTGGCAATGTGCAACTCATGGAGCAGATGTGTAATATGCCTTGTTCTAGAAGCACACATAACTGCTGCATTCTATACCAGCTGAAGCTTCCAGATTCTCTTCAAGGGCAGCCCCATGTAGACTGCATTGCAGTAATCTAATCTAGAGGTGATTAGGGCATGATTGATATAAACAGGGTTAGAATTAGAGATTACCTTGCAAACCAACCTATTGTTGCCTGCATCTTGCCAAGAAGACACATGCAGCATACTGACACATATACAGGATATATTTTACTATGTGCCCAAACAAATGAATGGGAGCAGCCTGTTGTGTATTTTTTTTTCACCCATGCTGAGTGATACATATGTGTGAATGCAGCTACAGACTGTGTTTGTGTGATAGGCTTACTCATAACTTACTCTATTGATACTAGGTTTTGGATTTTCGTGATGCATTGAGCTGAAGTGAGTTGTGCAACATTCTGATGCAAAATTGGCTTGGTTAATTTGTGGTTTAGATTGTGCAAAACAGCCGCTGAGTACTGAGTCTTCGTAACCCTCTATTTAATCCCACCTAAGAAAATTAAGCTTCTGCAATAGAAAGTGATCATCACTGAATGATTCAGCAAATCAATCTAGCAGAGCTAAATTACAAAAACAGCAAAAGTTCTTTCTCTAATTCTATAATTGATTTACGACTGATCACTTAGCAACCACTCAAACTTACAAAGGACCCCTCCCAAGTACTTACAAACAGATTCTGATGTTCCAATGTATCCCCCCCCCAGTTATGAGACTAGTTATCTTACAGCCGTTTGCAGAATCCTATAATCACATGACTGTAAATTATGATGTTTTTGCCGAAAAACTGCATTTACTTCCAGTTTTTGGCAAAAATATTCCATAATGAACAATGGGTTTGCTTAACAACCACGAGGATCACTTAATAATAGCCACACAAAAAAAGCTTGTAAATTCAGGTCGGTCATGTGTTGACCTGCTTTAACAACCATCATGACTTACAACTGTCCTGGGCAGGCTCCGTTACTCTTGTAAATTGACAACTATTTGTATTATTCCCCCCCCCTTTCATGATAATACTATTCCAAAACTATATTTGTCTTCAGTCAACTGAATTCGGAGACAGGGAAATGATTCTGATATGAGTGGGGAGCTATTTTGAGTGCAATTGTTTGAAATGGAAAATGTATATTAAAAAATTTACATTATCCAATGTGTATTACAGAGAACTGTCATTGCAGCCAAAACTACAAATAGCACATTAAATAACGGGATGATGCTATAGGTGACAAACAGAGGGAGAATTACACTGATGCTCGAGTTATCCATTTTGTTTTATTTTATTTTGGAAAAGATTATGCATGTTTCTTCATCAGATCAATTATTTCATTATACATGCGTTGGGGTGCATCCAGACCCCATATGAAATCGAGATGTGCCCAGTCTGAAATGGATTTATGGGAAACAAGTTGTTTAATTTGAGGCAATAAAATAGCAATATCTTTTGGATCAGAAAGTAAATCTTTTCCTCCAGTCCATACTGCAGTTGGAACTGTCATAGCGTCCACTTTATATAATGGAGGAGTAAGCTAGAAAATATATATATATATAATAATACAAAGAATTAGTTAAAGCAATGGCTTTTTTTAAAAAAAATTAAAGCGTATGAATGGAAGCAGAGTTAATATTTTTAAATGATTTGTATAGTTCTTGGAAGGCTTACAAACATTAAGAAATAAAACAATTATTATTATTATAATTTGTATGATGAGAACACAAAAACAACAATAAAATTAATGCAATGAAAATCAAAACCATTAAAATGATTTTAAGGAACAGCATTAAAGTATGTAATAATTAAGTGCTTGATAGAGTAGATGCAATTTTACCAGTTTCTTAAATACTGGAAAGGTGGGGTGGGGGAACACCTCTCCCTATAGCAACCATAATATTAGGCAAGCAGCAAGGGGGATTTTCTGAAAGCGTCTCTTGGTGATGTAAATCACCTATTAGATTCACAGCGGGATAGTTGTTCACTCAGATAGTAAAGACTTAAGTTCTTTTGGATTTGTGATTATTATTGCTTCCCCTTTTACATTGCTCCTATCTCTCATAGAACTAAATATTGGGAGTGTTATCACCATGTAAAGTGTCCTGATCTCAAAATGGGTTGTTCTCTCATGAAGGCCTATCCTAACTCCAGTTCTGTAAATTTCAAGAGTTTCAGATATGGTCAGAATAAAATAAAAAAAGATCTTGATAGAATGTTTGTTTGTTTGCTTTATCTGGCATATATGCCATTCTGACTGTCAACTGAGAATTTTAACTTAACAAAAATAATCAACTGTAAACAATGTGCTGAGGAATCATGTTGTCATGTCAGTCCTTAAGTTCCTTTGCTGTGCAAATGCTTCTCAAACTAGTATAACCCAGAAATTTGTAGAGAAGTTGAAGATATGAGTGAAGCTGGTGCAACTTTGTAGGGGTTTGCTATGAGAAGCAAGCCATAGTCATCTGGTTGCCAGGCTTTGTAATTAGTGAGATATGGAAAAGAGGAAATAAGATGTAAAGGTAAACAAGGTAAATAATGTTGTGAAATAAGGATGACATAAATAGCTTCTTATGAGACAAAGACCATCTTTCAAGGATAGGATTGGGCTCCTCAGGACTGAAAAATGGCTCCTCTGGAGCAGTGTTTCTCAACCTTGGCAGTTTTAAGATATGTGGAATTTGGCTTCCAGAATTCCCCAGCTAGATGCTGACTGAAGAAATGTTGGAAGACTCCACTGAGTAGAGAAGGAGAGGAAACAAATCTGGAAAGAATGACCTAGACCAGGGGTCCTCAACCTTGGCAACTTTAAGACTTGTGGAACTCAAGTTCACAAGTCTTAAAGTTGCCAAGGTTGAGGACCCCTGGTCTAGACAAAAAAGAGAAAGTGGCTGGTTTAATGAAACAATGAGAGGAAACAACAACAACAATGCAAAAGATTTAAAGTCAGACAAGAACATAACTTGAGAGTGAGGAGAAAATAGATAAAATTTTCAAGTAAGAGAAATACAAAGATAGACAAGCTTTATATTAGAACATATGACAAAATTGCTCACTTGCTTACATGTAAGAGATAAAGGGAGAATGCACAAAACCTTTCCTACTTTCTGGGAGAGCCTGCTTGCAGCTTGGGTTCAACAGAGGTGAATCCACTCTTGGAGAAAGGCAAAGTATTATTTGCAGAGAATATTGAAGGCAAGAGAGTGAGGAGTATGCCTAGTAGGAAGAGCATCCTCTGTTCGACAGCTGAGAGAAGAAACTGTGACTGGAGAAAGTGATGTGCAATTGTGTGAATTTGGATTGTGGCCATCTAGGATTAAGTACAGAAGAAATCAACAAGAACCAAGAATTCAGAGATGAGGAGAAAAAACTACTCTGTTGGGCAGGTCAGCTAAGGTTATTGAATTGCCTTTAAAATATATTTGCCCTTTTTTTGTATGTGTTAATAGCAGAGCAAAATAGAGGGAGGGAAAGAAACTGTATTTGTCAAGCAGAGTATGAAGTAATGAAGCAATGGAATTCATTCCTATAGAGTTCAATAATTACTGATGTGTAAAAGTTATTCTTGAATTCTTTGTGCAAATCTGGTTGCAGATTTGTGTGGTTATTGTTCTAATTCAAGAAGTAAAATAGAGCTCTTCACAAAATTCTGGTTCTCGATACTCAATATTTTCAACTGGAAGTATATCTTGAGCACTATTGGGTCAGTGGGGAGATATAATTGCCCAGCTTGATATGGACATTTTGGTGGCAAACTTGATGAGAAAAAACGAGCTGGAAGAAATTCTGCTTGACATGTTTCTGCAGGGGACTCAGCTTTCAATCCAATGCCCATTTTTTACTTTGAAGACTGTAAGCTACACTAACAATTTCTTATTGTTGTTGGGACTCCACCTTACCCTTACAGATAGGACTATTGTTTATGCCCTAGGAAGTTAGATTTACAACAATGAATAGACAATAGACCAGTGTTCGTGAAAATTTAAAATTCAGTTAAAAACAACATTTCTGATGAAGTCATGATTCACCCCCAATTTCTCTGGAATAACTTGGCTTTAACTAGCAATCTTAAGGCTATTAATAATGGAGAACATCTTGCCTCCATGAGGAAGCTATTTCAGAAGACTGTGACCATCAGGGAGAAATAACACTTACCTCCCACTTCCTGGAATTGGGGTTCTACTAATAGTTTCTCAGGAAAAGGCACCTTGGACAGGTTGAATCAAATTGGATGAGATAGTCAAAGGTACCAGGTGTCTATGAATTATTTCTCCCTGCATACACTTTCTTTGCTTTTTTTTTTTTTTCAAAATTTGCCTATAAATAAACAAATATTGCCGTACCTGTTTGTGCTTTATTTTATTCTTCATCTCATCACCCCAGTCAAAACTTTTGAATAATCCACAACGAAAAATCTAGCAATAAGGCAGGGATGAAATGCACTATTAGTGAATTAGTAATGTTTAATTGCAATCATGAATGTTCAAGTTATAATGGATCTAATCCCCTAGCAGTAGAAGAGTAGATATGAACATATCCAAACTTTATATTCATGAAACAGATACAACTCTGCACACATTTACCTAGTAATCTCATTCTACTATTCTACTGTTTTTGAGGAGACACATATATTATTGCACTATAAAAAATTGATTCAGATATTTGACCTGGAGCTACAGAGCCAACTTGCTTTAAAACCTGATATGCACATTTCAGTTGAACCTCCATCAAAATGCAACTGGTTTGGTCAAACATAATTTCTTCAACTGTCAAGATAGAAGCTATTTTGACTAAAACTTTTTCTTCAAGTCATATCCAAGAGTGTCTAGACCTAAGCCTTCCAGTTCCATCTGTCCATCGATATCCAGCTTTGGGGGAGGGCAAAATCACCTGAAAGCAAAAGGGTGATGATCTCCAAAATGTCATGAGGCTGGCCACAACTACACAATCAAAGCCTTCCTTTGTTTTATATGTGTTGCATGTATGATGCATGTAAGGAGTGGTTTGTAAATTCAGTCTTAATCTTTTTGATGCCTTCCTGAGGATGTTCATGTCTGATAGCATTAGACCAGGATGCACTAAGTCTGATATGAAGGACAATGCATGATTTTTTACTCATTATGTTCCTTGACTGCTTTCCTCCCAGCCTTAAAACAGCTTTGGGTTATAAGGATAGTTTGCAAATCTGAAATAGTGCTACTGCCTATACTGTGTGTTGGAAGATCTTCCCCCTTCAATTTGTCTATTTATAAATATGAAACTCTTAGAGAGAAAGCATAAACTTTTGGTGTTCTTTCATCAGAGAAAAATAAGGCATATTTATTTATTTATTTATTTATGAGACTTATATACCGCTTTAACTGCAAGCACTCTCTAAGCGGTGTACACCAGTAAGCAATGTATATATATATTTACATTGCCCCCAACAATCTGGGTCCTCATTTTGCCTACCCTGGAAGGATGGAAGCCTGAGTCAACCTTGAGCCGGTAAGATTTGAACCGCTGACCTGCTGAACACAGTCAGCTAAAGTGGCCTGCAGTACTGCACTCTAACTGCTGCGCCACCTCGCCACCTCATATAATGCCCTGATTCATAACTTGTGTGAAAGTGAAATAATTTTATTGTTCTTATTTTTAAAATTTAACCTCCCCCCAGAATCAGCCTCAAAAATAAATAAATTAAACATATTTAAAATACAAAATCATATTTGTCTGGTTATTTTTGTTATTGTTACTATAGATCTGTGTTTTCAAACTTGGGAATTTTAAGATGTGTGGACTTCAACTCCTTGCTAGCCTGGAGAATTCTAGGATCTTAAAGTTGCCAAGTCTGCACATTTTAAAGTTGCCATGTTTGAAAAATACTGCCATATTTACACAAATGAGTAACACTATTTTAAAGTATCACTTCTTAACAAGCAATAATATTGCAATAAGCAAAGATACCTGGCTCCAGTGCAGTATATTCTGTACTGATGTTCCAGCTGGGGATCGGGCCACATATATGTTTATTCGACTCTAAAGGGAAGGAAGGAGGAAGGAAATTTTAGTCTTCTTGAAATGAACATTGACTCAAAACACATTTCTAAATAAATATTCTTCAAAGTTTTAACTGAAAACTACATTAAATATTTTAGAAGCATCATAACCAGTACATAACTAGGCCCCACTCAATGCATATAATAGCCTTCAAAATGATTTTAAATATACTTACATCTATTATCCTTGCATACTTATTATTATTTCTTCATCTTGTTTATGTCTACAGTACTTCTGGTAGATACGGCTAATAGTTATCCATAAAAAACAAAATTGAAGTGCAGCTGTTTCTATTTAAATTAAGGTATATTTTAACATGGTTTTGCTTAAATAATGTCCATCTATGGTATTTTGTGACCAAAGGCTATAAGCAGTCAACACTCACCATATTTATATTTCTCATGTTATAGCCACTGAGGTGGAAAAAGATGTTTCCACAAACACTAGTAAAGAGACGCCGGCTGCAGAAAGTAGAAAGAGCCTTTCCAACTAGCCACTTCTGGGGAAGGAATTCTCTTTTGCCAAGCAAAGTCTACAAAATACCAAACAAACAAACAAATAAATAAATGAATCTGTCAATTGAAGTAATAGGTAGTTCTCATGTTTGAATATTCTTCATGACTTCTGCTATTACTACATGGACACAGTAGAGGAATTATATGAACAGAAAGGCAGAAAAGGTAAATAGGCAGTAGCTTTAGTGGATGATACTTGACATTAGGTGAAAAGAGGGGCTTCTCTCTACATGGAATGGCATAGGAAAATAACACACAAGATATGAAGTAGAACCAGATTGTGATTTTGAATATCTAGATTAATCAAGAATATGAGTATAGTTCAGGTCAGCAAACATACTTAATGTTCCTTCCACCTTCTACAGGTAGTCCTCAGTTTACAACAACAATGGAGCCCAAATTTTCTCTTGTTAAGTGAGACATTTGTTAAGTGAATTTTGCCCCATTCTGCGACCTTTCTTACTACAGTTGTTAAGTGAATCACTGGAGTTGCTAAGTTAGTAACCCAGTTGTTAAGTGAATCTGGTTTACCCATTGACTTTGCTTGTCAGAAGGTCACAAAAGGTGATCATATGACCTGGGGAATGGTCATAAATGTGAACCAGTTGCCAAGCATCTGAATTTTGATCGCATGATTATGGGAATGCAAAGGTCATAAGTCACTTTTTTCAGTGCGGTTGTAACTTTGAACAGTCACTAAATGAACTGTTGTAAGTCGAAGACTACCTGTATTTGTCCTACAACAACAATCCTGTGAGGTGAGTTGGGTTGATAGAGAATGACTGGCCCAAAGTAACTCAGCTGCCTTATTAAAATTATACCAGTCCATTCAGGAGTTTTATTACATTCAAACAGCTATTTCTCCAGAAAGTATCACCTGATGACACCTTTATTCACTATTTGTTTAATATAATCAATGTATATGGTCACCAGTTTGCTGGAGTTGTTCTGGGAAGCTAACAGAACAGTAGCTAATTAACAAAATTAATACTAATCAATTAATAATTAAAAATAATTAACAAAAATATATATTTCAGCCTTAGATGCATTGCCCAAACTTCCAAAGGCTGCAATAAATTTCTGCATCACTGCATGTCAAGGAACATATGCATCTGTTGTTTGGAGTTGATTGCATAGCTGTTGCATTTATATTTCTGCAAATGTCAATGTTCTGGCTAGGGGATGCTCAACAACAAAGCACCAACAGGAGCCAGTCAACATGCAGGATATGCATCTCCACACAACATGTAGTTGAGAGCTGGGAGGTGTGCATGTCAGCCTGTCTCCAACCTTTTGCAATCTATGCTTACCCATCAACCCTTTCACAGTGTAGGTATGTGTTGATGCCTACTCGCAGTTGCAGACAAGTCTAAATCAAGCTTGAGTTGAGCATATTTAATCAATAATCTGGTCTTGTGTTATGTAGAGCAGGGGTGTCAAATTTGCCATGTCACGTGATGTGTTGTGACATATCATGACTTTTTTACCCTTGCTGGAACTGGGGTGGGCATGGCTTTCTCATGACACATTCGGCCCACAGACTGGCAGTTTGACACTCCTGATGTAGAGCTTTCTTGAATTGTACCTGGAAGCCTACTGGAAGCTAGAATTCATGAGGTATATACATAGGCATATCATGGTGCACATATAATTGCCCATGTTGTTGAATTTTAGAGTAACTGCAGCATCCAAACAGTCTCCAAGGTCAGGTCCACGTGCATCTCATTGCAGCAAATCTTCTAGAGGTGAGTAAGGCTTGTATAACCATGAGGAAGAACTGGTGGAATTGACACTTCAGTTAAAATTGGGCAAAGGCCCTCATATAACCTGCCATTGTGGTTATATGCCATATAGACAGGTGCATCTATTCTGATAGAGGGTAATCAGAAAAATCAAGGTGGCAGTTGTGACTAAGATTGTGTTTGTGTGTCACATATAAAAGAATATCCTTTTGATTGTGAAATCGTGACTGCTATTTTCAATTTGCTGACCATAATCTGTGATGCCTCTACATATAGAGATAAGGCTACTAAAACCTGGTGAAATTTTCAAATTAAGAATATGTCCTTTAATGACTCTTTGGATGGACAGGAATTGGAATAAAATATGAACTTACCTGAAGGAACCTCTCTGGGAGATTAAGAAGTTTTACTATAGAGCTTTTGGCATACTTAATTCTTGTCACAGGGGCTAAGGCAAAAAACATTTTGATCTTCTGAGCCAATTCTGGCATGGCTGAAAATGCTATAAATGCTGAGAAAAATTCAAGAAGAAAAAAAAAGATTTTTTAAAAAAAGGAATAATATTCACCAGAAGTTTTCCTTCCCACCCTCTTTAGTTTACATAGTAGCATTTCAATATATTGGACATATCTATTTTAATTACTCAATAGGATTTTAAGGATGCACTTTTGTATGACTACATTTTTCTGACACAGTGCTCACATATACATGCACACACACACACACACACACACACACACACAGAGAGAGAGAGAGAGAGAGAGAGAGAGAGAGAGAGAGAGAGAAACAATGGCTTTTTGAACAAAGATGCTCCATATTTAATACAAACTGTCAGGGGCAAAGAACCAGGAGCACACACTGAGTTCAAAGTATGGAAGAGTTTTTTTATTCTTATAAGAATCTGGTCAACTAATGGTCAAAACTAAATGGGTCAACTAGATAAGGGTCAGCAGAATTCACAGGGAGCTGGTGACTTCTGGTCCTGCGCAGTAGCAACTGGTTGCAGGCTTGTGGAGTGCCACACCCCTGCGGTTAACTTTCGTCCTGCCTGGAGACCCTAATGAGTCCAAGCCACCCCAGAGAGGCAGTGAAGAAAGAAGTGTGCCCCGGCAACTCTGGAATGACGGTGGTCATCCATTCATTTTGGGTAAAGCCTTCTAACCCGACAGGAGAAAGGCTGTATTTCATCGATCAGCCCAAGCTACTTGCAACCAGAGTCCAAAAGAACTAACCAGCACTACAGTAAACAGCGTGCTTGAAACTGGGTGAGGAATCTGATTTTCCTTTTTCTATCCTATGCTTAATTTCCTGGAAACGATCCCCAAGAAGCAAAATACCTCCGAAAGTGAAGGAGGGAGACTTCCACCCCATCCTTATACTAATGGAAGCAGCGAATTAAAATTTCTATGGAGGCTCAAAATATATGGTAGTGAAATAAATTTATAAACTTGAAAGCTAAAATTTAACTTTGGACAAGTTTAAATTTGTTGAATGGTTAAGACTCTCATTTTAAAGACCATTGTTCATATTGAAAACTAAATAGATGCTGACACCTAGTGGTGGATGAAGATTATGACAGCTATGATTTCCATAAGAACTTGCCAAGACCTGGGAAAAGCTAATCTGTGTTTGTGACCTTCAAAGCTTTAATAATAAAGAACAAAAAAAGACAACAATCTGGGCTGCAGACAAAGAAAGAATTATAAACTTTAGGGGAAAAAAATATTTTTTGAACTCTTTGGATTACAAATATTTATTTAACCGGAACTCTAAAGCTATTTGCAGATAAGAAGGAAAACTCAAACTTTTAGCCATCATGGATCAGAGACAGGTAGACAGAACACACCAAGAAAACATAAATACATCTCAGGAGGAGATATATAGTATACTGCAATTAATTCAAGTAACACTGAGTTCAAATCACAAAGAAATGCAAAATAACTTTGAATATACAAATCAATCTATCTCTAGCTTAACTTTACAACAAAAAAACTTCCAGGAAACAACACAGACAAGGAGCAGACAAAACAAATAAGTAAGACATAAAATTGAAAATACAGACTCAAAGACAGAACTTAACAAAGCAGGAAAACATGATTTAATCCTAGTGGGAAAAATTTACAAGAAATGAAAAAAGCAACTCATCCCTTAAGACTTCAAAATAAATCTGAGGACAAAAAAACAGATTGGATAAAATGAAATGTAGAGATGTTGAAAACATCAGAGAGAAAGGAAGTGGTAAGAGAAGCAAAGAAAGAGAAAGAGAAAAAGATTTTCAAGAAACATGGAAAGGCAAAAGCCTCACATAAAGACACTTTATTCGATTTACTTCTTATATCTACAGCAACAATCATGAATATATGGAAAAACTTTTTGATTCAGCAAAGCACATTGATCAAGAAAGGTCAAAGGAAAAAGATCAAAGTGAAAATTAAGAAAATAGATGATGGGATCTACCAGAGAGAATATTTAAAAAAGAAACATTTGTTTGAATATGGTTAAAGAAATAGAAAAGATTCTGAATACATATGTCAGTGGTGGCGAACCTATGGCACACGTGCCAGAGGTGGCACTCAGAGCTCTCTCTGTGGGCATGTGCACCATGCCCTGTAGAGGGCAACCATCCCTCTTCAACCAGCCACCCATTAACTCACCGAGCTCCCATGTGGCCAAATGCATCCCATCATGGCTGGTTTCCCTCCCCCCCCATCCCTCCTGGCCTCACATGCTCTCCTTTTCCTGGGCGCAACCCACTGCATCGCCTTCTCAGCTGTTGGCTGGCCGTCCAGCTCAGAGGCAGCTTCTCTGAACTGGTGGTGGGCTGCGGAGCCCCAGAATGCACCAATTGAGGGGCCGGCAGGCTGTGGCTGCTGATGGACACTGTCGGCCCCCATGCACTCACTGGCCTCTGTGTGCAGGGGCCAATGTTGTCAGGCAGCAGCTGCCCCGGCCCCTGCCTTACCTTGCCCTGTGGCAATGGCACCTCCACTCCTGCCCACCACCCCACCTGCCAGAGACCCCCTGGATCTCCTCTAATCCTGCCCAGCCCCCATAGGCATCCCTCCCCATGAGCAACATTGAGGTGACCATGCCCACCTTGGCCACATCCACCCAGTCTGCCATGACCACAGCCATGACCACCCAGTGGGCCATGCCCACCAGGCACCCAGTGATAAATAAGTGGGTTTTGGGTTGCAGATTGGGCACTCAGGCTCTCAGTCGCCATCACTGACATATGTCATTCTAAGACAGATGAATTCCTTAAATAATATTGTATGTTTCCCCCCCCTTTTTATTTTATTTATTGATATAAGTAATATAATACTGCTGAAATGGTCTAGATGAAGGAAATGTTTTATATAATTAAATGTGTCTGCATTTAGGGAAATTATAATGTATTAAAAATAAAAAAATGTTTTAAATAAGAGTTAAAGGATTAGATAACTAGGCACATTAAATGGAATATTTAAAGATTAAATATATTTTAATCATGGTTAAAAAGAATAAGAAATTTTGGGAATGAATATATTAGATTAGGATGAATATATATTTTAAGTAGTATTTTACTTTTTATGTTTCTTTACTCTTGCTCTTTTTTTCCTTTTCTTTGCTGTTTTTATCTATTCTTTAAGAAATGTAAAAGTGTTGAGATGGGAAAAATGGATTTAAATCTTTAAATGTAATTATCTGTTGAGAAAATCTTAACCAACAAGAATACTTTGAACTTTATGAGAGAAACAAATCTAAATAAGGACTGTAACAGGATATAAAATGAGGCAACCAGAATGATTAGATAGAAAAGAAATATTAAATTGATGTGATCATTATTTCTAGGAATATTGGGAAAAATTATATATGTAACTGCTATTTATCAAAATAATAAGAACTGTATTATTTCAAAGTTTGCAAAGAAGACATTTGGGGAAAGGGGGAAATCAACTAAATGTACTATGTGGATTATGGATTATAGAAACCAATTGTTAATGATTTTTCTTTACAAATGTAAACCCAGCAAACAAATTGTTTATCAACTATTAAGTGATTTATGTTTTAAAAAATCACAAATGATTCCAAACTGATGACCTTTCAGCTCAGCCTGCTCATCTCCTTTCTTTTAACTTTCAAACATCTTTTGAAACATCCTATGTACAAATCCTCTTGTGGAATACTCAATTTACCCCAGACATCAAATGCACTCATAGAATGGGACACAAGGCTGAACAAATGCCAAGGACATCCTCAGGTGAGTATTAAAATAAATAAAGATGGTGTGTGCCACTGTCTGACTGTAACCATCATCTTGCCTTTTTAGACCAATACTTCTCAGACACGTGTGTGTTTCCTTTCATACTATACTATATCATGCTGCCCCAAGAAATATGCATTTGATATTTATTATGGTAAGTTGTTATCATCTATGATATAGATGGCAAGTTGTCATCCTCCTCCATATAAAAAGAGAGGAAAGATCTCTCTTAGATCCCTTTTTATATGGTGGAGCTGTCTCCACAGATATTTGTATGTGGACAAATAGCAGGAAAGGTAATGACCATTCATGGCAATGAATAGTGGACAAGGGTAATTCATGGACATATTTATTCAATACTGTAAAAGGAAACTTTTGAATCCACTTGATAATTGACTATTTTATACTAAAAAAAAAAATAGGCCAAAACACGTTATTGTAATGCTTTCAAATTAACAGTCTTTAAAACGGTTCTCTGTACCTAAAACATTTTTGACCCAGTTTTATCATACCTTAAAGCTTTTATATTTTGCGGGGGAGGCTTATAGAAGCATAATTTTCTTAATGTAAAAGTTATTGTTGGCTTAGTTTGCTTCACTTGTTGTGAGTTAGCCAATAATCACACTAAGTGGGTAGGAACATTTTAAAAAAAATTATTTCTGAACAGATGTAAAGAATTTACACTCCGGACTAACATCTCAAAGCAAGCACACTGCTTCACCTCATAACAGGTATTAATGCAGTATGTACATTACATCAGCTATTCTGATTGGCTGGCTAAATTTACCTTACCACAAACCTTACCTTTTGGTAGACTTTCTTCTATCTCAGGGAGATTATCCTAACTTCCTCCTAGGGATGCCCAGTAGCTTATATAACCTTTTTTCCCCTTTCTAGCAACTTCTAGATTCCTCTTTTGGTGTCATCATTATTAGTAGTTTTGGTATTCAGTGATATAAAAGTGACAGAGCTGAAGAAAGGTGTAGCAATGTTTTGTGGGGGGAGGGGGAAGCAAAATATCTGGAGGGTTAGAGGTATCATTTGATCCCCTTGGCCCTTTTTTGTTTTTTAGCATCAATAATAGCTGCCTGTCAATGCTGCTAACATTGGATGTTCTTGCTTTGACAACATATAAAAATGCAGCCTTTTCCTTTCTTATGCTTTACTCTTGGAATTAAATGAAACTGGGGGAGGAGGAGGAATGTGACGGGAGTTAGTTAGACATAACAATATTGTAATAGTGTGTGAATTCAGGACTTTTGAAA